GTATAGTTACCAGACGTAAACAACGATTCTGTAAATCAAAAATCGTTTCGATTGTACTTCACAAAATTTGATGATTTTATCAAAGTATATGACATGAAAGTATGGTACCCGGTCAATCTGCCTAAAGACATTTAGCCTAACGGACAGTTCGCCTAACGGACAGTTTGCCTAACGGACAATTTGCCTGACGGACAGTTTGCCTAAGGAACAGTTTGCCTATTAGGCGAAATATCCATTAAAAAATCGTAAGTTCGGCAAACTGTCCGTTAAGCAATGTGTCTTTAGGCAAACTGCCGTTAGGCTAAATGTCTATGGACAGATTGACCGGTCACGGAATATATCGCAGATGACCAGCTGAATTTGTTTCTAACGATGACTTCATAGAAAATTTTATGGTTTACTTGGGGCACTGAACGTTACTCTAAAGTTAGTCATATTTCCAACAAGTTATGCAATCAAATCTTCTCAATTTACTTTGCGGCCTTGCGACTACTAGGTATTTGGTTCATTTTTTAGAAAACCAAAAAATGAAATCTCACCTGCACGTCGACTCACACTGCTCACAACTTCTGGACCGAGTATGCGCCTTGCAACTTTTCCAACTGACGTCCAAATCTTGAAGGTTTCAAAAACTCAGTCGATCGAAACACAAAGATACATTTGTTCATAAATTATCGGAAAATGCTCCAGTTTCGAAATGTTATTATTTGCTCGCGAAGAAGCTATGTCTTCAACGAAAACTGAAGCGAGTGCTCTTTTACTTTCCCAATTGAATTTTGACGCGCTTTTTTCCAAAAAAAGGTATTTGTGAGAAAGTATTAATGCTCCTTGAATCATTTTGATGAACTTCAATCGGTGTTGGTTTCCATTCAATCGGATCAATCAACGTTAATCAAGTGAAATGATAAATTACCGCTCGATCATCAACCGATACTGCTATCAGAGCGTCGTCCTCGCAATGTGAACGTTTCAATCGCGCTCGAAGCGCATCAGCAAATTTACCGATCGCTTCCAGCCGACTTTCTTTATCTCTGCAAATTTCCTTCAAGTATCCGCTCAAAATCTCTTTTGATTTCAAAAACAAATTCGTGACCGTATTAATTCTATGATGAAGTATGAAATTTCTATCGCTTCTTTTTATTGAGCGCATTTTCAGAGATTTTACAATAAAAGCCATAGATCAATGTTAGATGTGTGATTGCATTTCAAATGTTACATTTAACAATAAATGATATGCATTTAAAACAAGTTAAGCGGGATACTTTATGGTTATGATCTTCAAAGTACAAACTAACGTTTGATGTGCATCCATCCGTAAAGATTTTAATATGGCAATTGAGATCGTATATCCATGATCATGTTTTGATGGACACTTTCCATAGACTGTGACATCTTGAGGTTGGCACGAGCAATTCGTTGACGAACGAATTCGAGACAATTCATGCAATAGCAACGATGCACCTAAATGGCAAACATACTCAAGTTGTTTACACAGTCTGTATTTCTCAGTGTGAAATTTACACATCCAAAAAAGGATTGGTACATTTAGAATTTCTTTCATTGCAGTTCCTTAAAGAAATTGCCTTTTCCACCATTGTTTGCCTAACCTCAATGAGTTCACTTTCTAGTTTTGTGATCCTCAGATC